CTAATATTAATATATAAAAATAATATTATATATTAATTATATAACTTATATTATATAAATATACAATATCTATATTAGTATATTACTACTATAGTATATTAATATATTATTATTATTATTTTATTATATATTATAATTTATAAAATTTAATGTTTTAAAATATAATAAATTTTTTATATATAATTATTTTATATTATTTTATATTTCAAACAATAACGATTCGAACACGAACGAACGCATCACTGTTTGTGTTTGGTTCGTTTAACTAACCGAACGAAAAAAATTTGTTCGCGTTTGTCTCGTTTACTTATCGAACGAATCGAACACGAACTGTTCGCGAACAACGAGCTTTTTTGACAGCCCTACCACAGATATTGTTGCTGGACAAAGAACCTAGCACAACCATTTTGAATGTTTATATCACTATCCCACGTCTCACAACTATCAAGGATCCAACTGGCCACAAGCACCACCACTAAGATCTCCAATCCGATCCTAACTAATCCAACATTTGGTGATGGAACTGAAGCAAATGTGGGACCACAATTACAGCGTTCTGCATGACGCAGAATTGAAATTCTGCGATGTGGTTGACGAACCAGTCAATTTCCCATCCCATTAGCAGCTTCAGCGGGATTTCTTTGCTTTCCTTGCTGTCATGAGTCTCAACGGAAGCGAAGGGAAGGTGGTTGGGTGGCTGGGCAGCAAGCTGGAGGCAGTGGAGGGGGCGACAACAAGCCGGAATTGGATGGGGGCTGGCTGGACAGCAAGTGGGGGATTGCATGAGGGAACGACAACAAGGTAGGGGGCTGAGTAGAGGCGGATGAGGGTGTTGGGATGACTGGGACAGCAATGAAAGCAATATGGAGAGCTAGAATCACGGATAGGAAGTGCAAGTGCTGTCCTCGGGATGATGGCAGCAAGGAGAAGGGTTGGCGGCAAGGGGATAACAGTTTGGGAGGGGAGGGGAGACAGTAGACAGCTGCAGGAAAACAGTCATGTGGTTGTTTTCTGGTGGTTGCAGGAAGAATGGAGGGACGGCGGAGGCAAGAGGGAGTGGGAAGGGGGGCGATAATCAACACCTTGAACAAAATACATTCAGAGCACCACTCGTGGTTGGATACAACCCTAACAGGGAAAAGATGGACACTGACGGCTGCCCTAAAAAATATTTGAAACAAAATTATCATAAAATACAGAAAATAACATATAAATGGTCTTAGGGTAAAGGGGAGTGGGCCCCCCTCCAAATAGGAGGGAACCGTCTGCTAAGGAGGTCCGCCCCAATTCCGATTCTGCCCAGAACGACTTGAGCCATTGCGGTGATTGCCGCTCCCGTGCGGGTCAGGGTACTCCCGCACCGTCTCCTGCTCTTGTGTCTCCTCCCGCTCCCACGTCAGAAAGGTTTAGGTGGGAACGGGTTCAGCTGCCTCCTTCAACCCATCTGCCCCATCAACACCAAACTGATTGAGGTTTGAGAAAGAGATGTCATTAAAGAAAAAAAGGCATAAATAAAAAGAAATGTGTATTATGTTCCAACATACATTATGCTAAGTAAGAAATGGTGGATGATAGGATATGAACCAAGTACTAGCTCTCAAACCATGTTAAACCTAATGAACAATTGGTCCTAAAGGCTTAAACTTTAATTCTGACTAAGGAAGACTTATACACAGATACTAAAATTTTTTACTTGTGCCCACAGTTTACGCATAAGAGTTGCAGTTCAATATGAAGAGGCAATCCAGCATGAGCCAAACATAAAACTACCCTTAAATGCCAATGGGAATTCAAAATAAACCCAAATAGTTTCTGGCATTAATGGTAAAATCTAGTGGAAAGAACAAAAAAATGAAGCGGGCTTCAACAAAAAGCATCGAAAATAAGAGCAGTTTGCAAATATGTATGGCAATTGATGAACAAAAAAAAGTAGAAGGCGAAATAGATTTCGGTCACACACACTCACAGGCATAAAAGGTTGGAGCTTACTTTAAGTGTGTTAAGCTTAACACAAAGTTTTGGTACGGTCAAATTGTCTATCTGACTGACTACTTTCTCATCCAGAGTAGCACATTCGACAGGCTTTTTCTTCATAAAGGGATTGACTGCCTCCTTATATCGTGTTAATGTGGGAGGACTGGGATATAAAAAGCTTTTATCAACTGCGCCAAAAAGGGGATAAAGTACAATCAAAAGATACAACTAAAAATTTCATATTCACGCAAGCAATATGATAAAAAAGCTTCATTAACACATTAGTCTGGAAAATCACAATAATATACATCCTAGATATAGTTATTAATCATCTAAAACAGCACATTCCATAAAGCATTGAAAAGAAGATTAGCTGAACTATGAAACTGTTATAATTAAATACTCGGCACATGCATACTGTCTTGCTAGATTAATAAACTGAACCCAAAAAAACCATTGTACCCATATATAGCTACATCAATATCCCCACTACTTTCCAGATAAAAGCAGCAGACGGCAGTATACAATTCTGAAGTTTGCTTACTAAGAAACAGAAAATTTATCAAAAGTTTGATAACAGTGATATCCACCAGTGTCAAGTTTTGCAATGTGCTAAAATTAAAAAGACAAACAATTATTGTCAAAGAGTAAGGGATACAAATAAATGTCGGCGATTAAAAAAAAATCTAAAACTCCAACAAAGATAAAGTTAACTCATGCAGGCTACGCCTACCAACAAAACAGAATCAATCAATATCAAGATGGCAAGATTTTGGTTTGACGTCTGGAAAAATGATTATAAAAGACAAACATATCTAGCTTTAGAAGTTACAGCATTGTACTTTCCACGCCATTATTCAGGGGTATCCATTTTAGCATTAAAAATGCACAATTCAATATGTTATGTCATCTATTAGTGTATTTTATACATCGCCCAAATACTGCTACTAAAATTAGGGATGTTAAAAAAGACCGAGTCCACTACTAACCAAAACAAAACTAGGCCTTACATGATCCACAAAACAAAAGCGGCATGCGCATGTAGATATACAATAAATGCCAAACTACAAAAAATAATAATAATAATAAATAAATAAAATAAAAATAAAAATCCAAATTTTATAAAGTAAACTTCAAGGTTTGACATCAATCTGATCAGTACAATTGCCCAAGTAAATGGAAGTGACGCGGGGCTCTCAGACGTGGGAAAAGGCAGACACTTGGCTCTCAGATGCAGGACTCCAAGGGGGGCCAAAACCGTGCGGTTCAATTCCTACTGCTCCTCCATTCTCCTATTCTGATTCTTGCCGACTTGGTTACCACCGGCCCCTCGCTACATTTTTTGTTTGCCGCACAAAAGAAGAGGCGTATGTTAACAGCCAGTCAGAAGGTGAGAATTGAATTTTTACATGCTTATTTTTCATAACTAATTATTAACAAATGAAAAAGCCATCAATATAAATTAAAATCAGATATTTAAATTTATCTTATTATTGATTGTCTGCAACAAGAACAACAATAACACAACCTTAATCCCACTACGTGGGGTCGGCTACATGAATCATTTTTCTCCATTGTGGCCTATTTAGTATCATATTTTCATTTAGTTCTAATAAATTAAGATCATTTTTTATACGATAAGCCCAAATCTTTAACATAAGTCAAATCTAAAACATCTACTCTCTTAATCGAATCATCAAATGATCGACGTTTACTGTGACCAAACCATCTAAGACGACTTGCTCTAATTTTGTCTGTCACAAGAGCTACACCAACCCTATCACGGATATATTCATTTCACATTTTTTCTCTAAGTGTAAAGCCACTCATCCACGTAATCATTCTCATCTCAGCAACACTTAACTTAGTATTATGCTTCTCTTTTAAAGGACAACAAACAACGCCATAGAGCATTGCAGGTCTCACCGTCGTCTTAAAAAACTTTCCTTTCAGTCCAAGCGGTACTTTTCTATCACACAAAAGGTCTGAAGCATTCCTCCACTTCAACCAACCAACTTGAATTCTACTTATAACAACCCCATCTATATCACCATCGCTTTGAACAACAGACCCAAGATATCTAAATTGTTCACACCTTTTAATAATTTGATCACCCAAAATTACACTTCTGTCACTAGAGCTACTGCTATTAAAATTACATTCCATGTATTCAGTTTTAGATCTACTCAAATTAAGGCCTTTAGAATCCAATGTATACCTCAATAATTCAAGTTTTTCCATAGTTCTACTGGTTGTCTGCGTCTTCTGTAAATATTATTCATTCTATCGCTCACATTTTAATCACTTTATTAACCTAAAAAGTTAGTTTAAAATAACAATGAGCTAAACAAGTTAGTGAATACTCATATTTCTAAACAACAATAATACAAGAAAAAAGAAGCAAAATATACGTCAGTTAAACTTATACTAAATCAATATTAATATTTAAGATGTTATCAAGATTTTTACTATATTAATAGCATATCAATATCATTCTATATATGTACAACCATCACAGGAACACGGTCTAAAAATTAAACTACTTATGGTCTTCAATATAAATATCCTTTTGCAAATACATGCATAGGTACATTAATGTTAACTCACCAGTACCATAAAAGAGTGACCTCATTATAATTATTTATGTACATACAAGCATACAATAAAGATAAGACTTTTAACAATAAATATTTCATTATCATTTGCGTAGCATAAAATATGCCAATATTTAAAAGACGCATGATTATTAGTGAAATATAAGGGATGAGCTCCTGTGAAAAGGAATTCAGAAAGGAGCATATAAGCCTCGATAAGAGGCGTTTATAAAAAAAATTAATTTTTAAGAAACACATTATTTTGTTAATATGTGATATATTTGATTTTAAATAATATAAATATTAATATATATTAAGTATTATTATAAATAAATTTGTTAATATTCTTTACATTAATGAAAATATTAAATTTGTTAATCAATATTTATATTAAGTAAATTTTAATTAATCAAAATATATAATTGAACAAAATTAATCAATAAACAAAATATGAAATTCATAAAATTTATTTCATAATAAAATATTCTCATAACATAATATTTACACAAAAATATTATCTTGTATATCAGGTTGGAAAGACGACTGAGCTCGACGTATATCGAGACGGTTGTCAGAGTAGTTGATGTCGCAAATGATGTTCTTGAGCCCGCTGTCGTGCTAAACAAAATGTTCAAACTGCAAAAAGTACACCACGATTGGAGGCGATGATATAGAAGTGCACCATGACTATAGGCGATGATATTCAAGAATGATTTGAAAAACATCAGTTGTGGTGTATTTCTATATCAGCGCCTTCGGTCATAGTGTGCTTCTAGTCGTTTCAACATTTTGATTAGCACGAGGCGGAGCTCAAGAACAACAGTTGCGACATTGACAATTCCGACCAGCGTCTCGATATATGCTGAGCTCAAGCATCATTCCAGATGTAGAAGATAACATTTTTGTATAAATATTATGTTACGAGAATATTTTAATATGAAATAAATTTTATGAATTTCATAGTTTTTTTACTTATTTAATTTTGTTCAATTATATTTTTTATCAATTAAATATTAATTAAAAATTAATTAATGTCAAAATTAATTAATAATTTTAATATTTTCATTACTGTAAAGAATATTAACAAATCTATTTATATCAATGATTAATATATATTAATATTTATATTATTTAAAATAAATATATCACATATTAAAAAAATAAAAAAAATTTAATTTTTCAAGAAATGTGTTTCTTCAAAATTAATTTTTTTAATAAATGCCTTCTTTTTAAGCTTCTTTTTAGAGTAACTCCTCCCCCATATTTCATTAATAAACATGCTCCTTTTAAAAATTTAGCCCAGTTAATATTCTTGTTCATGATTCAATGATAAATTAAACAAAGTTGAACACACGTGTCATTCTTCCAACATGAACAAAATTCATTAGAACCACAAATCATCCATATGCATTATTATAATAGTAACAATAAATGCATTTGTTCAAGAAGAAACAGAATATTATTATAGCAAAAAAAATATGAAAACTTACCTCAATAGTGATTAATTTATTATTTGATTTGTCTGGACATCAACTCCTCTAAAATGAAAAATATAAAATAAACATGGTATTCAGATTAAAATTTAATTTATTTATTATGTTATTACAATTTTAGTTATTTTAATTAGCTATTAACTTATTATTTGAGTACATTTTACTCCTGTTTATTTTTCTACTAAAGAAGAGATTAATGACACAAATGTAGGAACTCTTTAATATTTTAGTGAGCACTCAACAAATTTGATATATTCTTGTACTTGTAGAAATAACACATTATAATTAAAAGCTCTTTATAAGACATGAATGATGTCAACATTATCATGGTTAAAAGTTGAAATAGGAAATATTGTTATTATTATTATTATTAAATCACTTAAATAAATATTATCAAAACTTACCTCGATCGAGCCATAAAACACGAGCAACCCCCTGCTCATGATGACTGAGTGACCTCCATCCCTTTGCACGAGGCTCGTTCATTTCCTCCAATCGGCAGCATAACGCCGACGTCAATGTCGATGTCGGCGCCGCCTCTTCCTCCAATGCTTGAGAGAGACGTTGCCTCCTCCTTGTTGCTCGACTTCAGCTCCATCCTGCAAGAACGAACGACTGTCGCAGTCGCCTTCTTTCTCCCTCAGCACGCAAGTCTCGTCACACGAAAGCTCCTCCCTCCAATCTACCTTCACCACAAAAAACTTGCTCGACAACCAGGTAAGTTGCTCAACAAATTATAGGGCAAAATTTCACCTCCTAGGGTTCCTGACACCACTCGCTTCATCTCCCTACTATTCACTTTCTGACTCCTCGCTTCAACTCCCCCATGTTTGAATTTTCACTTGCTCTCCTAGCTCTTCATTTTCTCTTCCCTGATTCTTCGTTTCTTCTACCCCCAATAACTGAATTAAATCATTATAGCCTCCCCTTATATGTGTTGTTTTGCTTGCTTAGGGTTAGTTTTTTATTATTCAAGATTTTAGTTTGCTATCTTCGAGGCGTTTCTCCCTCCCGAGAATTGTATTTGACGACAAGGAGGTGCTTCGACTGTAACTCGTCCAAAATGGTGACCATCTCCAAAGGTCTGGGTGGTGCTCTAGTTGTAGCTCGACCCTATCGAAATATTTATCCTTCCAACTCCCCCCTGCAGCTCCCGACCCATCTTCCAATAGCCGCACAAGCCTTCCGGCTGCCTACCTGTTGTCCTTGCTTCCAACTGACCTTCCCAACTGCTAACCAAGACACCCACCGCCTTCCAACAGCTCCAAGTCACATTTGTAGCCCCCTCTAGCCATCGCACAAGCCTCCAGGTCCTTCCCCGCTGTCGTTAAACTCTACAAGCGCCTTCGAACTGATGTTTGATCCACCGTCTCGTCTCTTGTCTTTCTGGATTTGCCGCTCTCTCTTCCTAGTGAGTCGTTCATCTTTTTGAGTTGTTTTTACTCTCAGTTTGAGGAGTTGTTATCATTCAATTGTTTGTATGTTTGTGATCATTTATTTCCTATTTTGAAGAGACTTCATGCAACCCTTTGAAATTCATTAGAAATATTTTTTTTTTTTCAGTTTGGGTTAACTCCAGTATCATTTGGTATCATAGCTAGCTTAACCCTAGTCTTATTCTAAGTTTTACTAGCATCCACCTTACCCCTCCACCAAAATTTCTTTTCTATTTCCAAACCATAGCCAAAACTTTGATCTAACCCTAATTTTCACTTGTTGATTATTAAAATCAGCAAGCATAAATCAACTTTTTCACCCTCTTTCACCTCACTCCAAACTCTAGCTATGCCATCTAGAAAACACATGTCCGAGCTTACCAGAGAAGAGATACAGCGAGAGATCCGCCGAAAACAGCGAAGATTTGAAGACATTGAGGATCCATACCCACAATAGTGACTGAGAAATCCAAAGAGGAGAAAGGGACGAAATTTCAACAACTTACGTAGAGTGGATGTCATGATGAAGATGAACGGCATGGCATTTCAAAATCCATTATCAGAGGCATACAGAGAAGACATCAATTTGATGACATAGAAACTACGGACTCGAGGTGGATCTATCAGAATTTGAGGGGGTATGGATCCAAAAGAATTTATCGATTGACTATAATTTGTTGAACAGATCTTCGAGTGTAAAAGTGTGCTAGAAAATAAGAGAGTCAAATTAGCTGCTATCAAGTTGAAACCTTTACGTGGAGTATAAAAGTGTGCTAGAAAATAAGAGAAGACACTGATAAAATTATGATGCACCTCATTACCACCAGAGCATATTTCTGAAACTCCACAATCTACAACAGTGAGACCTTTACGTGGAGTTCACAACTCAGTTCGACCACTTACAGATGAAATGCAAACTGAGCAAGCTGGAGTAGCACACTGTAGCCCAATACCTTTTGAGCCTGAAGCCCTCTATTAGCAATTTGATACAACTGCAGTCATATTGGTCACTTGGGGATGTCCAAACCTAAGCACTAAAAGTGAAAAAGCAGCAAAAACAGAGCAGGCAACCATAATAAGTCAAACAACCATCCATAGTTGGCAACACCAGTAGGAACACACCTTAGGGAGTTGAGAAAGCCGAATTGGATAACGACAGAGGCACCCTCAGAGAGAAGCCAGAGAGGAGTAGCAAGCTTACTACAATCCCTGACAGAAATGCTTCAAATGCAATAGATTTGGGCACATTGCCTATAACTGATAGACAAGTCCAGTCATGTATTTTACAAAGCAGGGAGCCCTACAAGAGGTTAGCGACAAGGAGAAAGCTGAGGAACATGGTGAGACGTACCATCTGCCACCACATGAAGTAGACGCACTTGTTGTTCGACGGCTCCTACGTGTTGAGGATGTGAGGGGTCCGCAGTAGCTTCACAAGATATTCTACACTTGTTGAACAGTGAATGGAAAAGTATGCAGCCTCATCATCGATGTGTGGAGTACTAGGAATGTGACATCTACGTAGATGGCAGATAAGTTGAGTCTCATGACTCAGAGGCACTCCGAGCCATATTCTCAGAGTTGGTTGAAGAAGAAAAACAGAGTCAGTATTGATCGGAGATGCCTAGTGGAGTTTTTGATTGGGAGCAGCTATAGAATCAGGTGTGGCGTGATGTATTCCCTATGGATGTCTGCCATCTTTTGTTGGGGAGATCGTGGCAATTTGATCATAGATCTTAGCACGACGGATTCAGAAACACGTATTCCTACACCAAAGATGAGAAGTGCATCATCCCACTACCTTCGTGGGAGCCCGAGATCAATGGAGCCCTTACCAACAAAGTTGTGAAATATTTCAAAGAGAGTTCATCTACAAGACGTATCTCGGACCATCACTTCTACTAGAGACGTGAAATTTCCGCGTCATTTTTGGAGGACCTTTTCAGTTTAGCAAAACACCCTTACACAAACTGCCAGATTAAAGTAGTAAATCAGAGTTTTGGGAAACTCGGGCGATTTTAAGCGAAAACATTGGGTTGTGGGTTTTGATACTTCCTCAAGGTTAACAACCGTTCCACTAGCCCTTCAATGGGTCGTAGCCAGTTTGAGATTGAAAACGGACTAATATGGAAAATAAAAATATAAAAATATAGTTCTTAAACAAAATTTGAAGTTTCAGAGCAAGCAAAAAAATATGAAAAATAAAAAATAAAAAAATAGCAGTTATTGAGCATTTAGGCATATTTCTATACAACAAAGGTTTGTACCTTGGTGGCTGATTATGTGTTGTAGATAAGCTTCAAGGCTTCTAACAACCCCAATCAGTAAAGATCGCAAGTGGATGGTTTCCATGGGAAGGATCAAATCAAAGAATTGATCAATAGCCTGCAAAGCATTGCATCAATATAAAAAATACAACATAATTTAGGACACGATACATTAGAAAGAACCCTATTTAAGAAATGAAACCATCAAGTACTGCAGTAATTAGAATCTTTCTAAAACATTGAGAAGGTGAATCATTCATCAAAAGAGAACTCTGATGTAATAACTGATAAAACCTTCCAAATTTCTTATATCTTCTTATTTTAAAAATAAAATAAAATAAAATTCTAGTTATGTTGCTAAATTTCTTTCTCACCGAACTTCAGAACCCAAACCGCAGAATTCAAATCAATCATTTTACAACCAGAACAGTGAAAATGAAATTATGTATTGGAAAAAATATTTAATTTAGTGAACTACATAAGCTTATTTTTATTTTTCACATTACAGTTAGATCAAAGTAAACTTTGACTAAGCAAGAACCACCATTGGGTGCAACAATATGTACTTTAGGAGTGCAATTAATGACAGCAATCCAAAACACCTATAAATTTCTGCTCAAAATGAAACCACAACAAAAGGTAATTGTTTCTATGATTCTAGTCAATAATGCGAGACGTGATGGGAATGTCGGACGGATAGCGAACACGAGCGAACGAAGCGAGCACTGGATTCCCCCAAGAGGGATCCTATGATCTCGCAATCACGCGTACAAGGTAAAAGCAGAATTTTGTGATTCAGGTGATCCCGCAAACGTGACGGACAGGATTCCATCCCATTTCACAACAAATTAGAGATATACTTTCCTATTATTGTTGTCGGTACATTGGGGCCATAAATTTCTGATTTTCTTTAAATAGAATTGGGTATTTTCAAAAGGAACTATTTATATCTTGCACTTCCTTTTTCTTTAAAACTTTTGATTTTGTTTGAGTATTTTGGAGATTTTAATCATTGATTTCTGCCCGTGAAGTGTTGTCTCATATTCTTTTTGCAAGTTGTCTCTACGTAACTTGTGCAAAGACAGGTGATGTATCTCCTCGTCCCTACATTGTCCTTTCATTGTTCTTCTTACTGTTTAGAGCCAGGACAGCCACCAAACGATGGCTATCACTGTCCAAACGACGTCGAACTCACATATTCTCGTTCCCTCACTAGCCCACATCCACTTCTTCATGCAATCCACTCCCTTAACACCTTCTAGTAGCCCTAGAACATTGTCACTTGGTATCAAAGCGAAGAAGAAGTTATGCTACCAAGAAGAAACTCTCAATGAGGTGCAAAGAAAGTTATTGTAGATGACATCCAGCGGGAAATCTTGCAATTACAATAGAAGCTCGCAAATTTTGAAAGAATACGACATGCAAAAGTTACCCACAACAACAACAGTGACTACTCAGATAAAAGAGATGAAGGAAATCCTTTCCATCAAGAAGCTTCAAGTGACAGAGCAAATGTCGAGTCAATTTGGCATTGAGTACAAGAGGAGAGATGTTGATTTTGGAGTAAAGGTGGATTTACCAGATTCTGAGTGTCGCATCAATTTGAAAGAATTCATCGAGTGACACTAAACAATGGAACAGGCCTTTGAATACAAGGACATTCCACCTGAAATTAGCCGCCATCAATGCAAAAAGAACGCATATCTATGGTTGGAGAATTTGAAACGCCTACACAAGCGAGAAGGAAACGGTAAAATCGCAATTTCGACAAAATGAGAAGGGAGGAGTAATACAAGTACCACTCAACACATCACAGGCATGACATGTTCTTGATACTTCACCACTTGCAGCAGAAAATCTCTTAGTAGATGAGCACAGGGATGAGTTAGAGCAGCTTATGTTAAAATGAGAGCTAGTATAGTCCGAGAAGAACACCATAACTTGATATCTGGGAGGATTAAGAACATTTATTAGCAATGTGGTACGGTTACAATTTTATTAGACATTACAGGACACCCATTCCCTAGCTCCCTAGCTCTAAAGGTAGAGAGAAAACACATTAATATGAGCTCCACACAACCCATCAAATAGATATCAAGCATAGGTTCAGGCTGCAAGAGTACACCCAGTAGAGCACCCAATACGACCCCACTAGAGAAAAAATTAGTTCAAAGTGGAGAAAAGATGCAGATCACCAGCACTAACAAATTCATCGTAGCAAAGAAGTGTTTCAAGTGCTATGATTTTGGATACATCACATTCGATTGCCCAAGCAGAAAGATGATTTCATTCATTGAGCAGAGAGCAATGAAAAATATTGATAACGATGTGGGGAGATATAGAAGAAGGTAATGACTCAAAATAGGAATATCAACTTCCAGTTGACGATTGAGGAATACTAGTAATTTGACAGGTCCTTCAGAGTGAGTGCGTGAAAAGAGCGTTGGCAATACTAACATTGGTTGTTCAAGACAACGGTGAGTCCGAGAAATCGATACCATAAAATGGGCAGCCTCTGTTCATATAGTTGTCATATATCCTAACTGACAGATTACCCCTGGGTGGTAGCCACTTATGGTGGTCCAGCATGCCATAGTTCATTCCAAGGTTGATTACTTCATAGTCTTGTTTATCAGATGCATCTAACCGAGTACGAAGAGTGGAAGGAACAAGTTACAAATTTAATGGGCTAAGATTTGGTTGGTAAGAATAATCATCTATCTGCAGTTCTAACTCTGTGCGGCCAAAAAAGAATGACTACTTATTCTATGAGGATAAAAATTAGACTGAAGTTTTTAGAGCAGCATGAAATGAACTTAAGCATAGATTTTGTAATGAAATTACCTCAGTCACAGCAAAATAATGTCTTTGATATGATTGTAGTATATCAATTTCAGAGGTTTCCTAGGAAGAAGACGATGCTCCTCATAACTGAGGAAATGATGTGGGACGTGATGAGAACGAGGGACATAGGCTAAGGAAGCATTCGAGTAATTTTCCTAGCTGGGATCTTGTGATCTTGCGATCCCGCCTATGGGGCAATTGCAATATTTCAGGATTCACACAATCCTGTAAACCTGGAGAAGACGGGATTCGGTCCTATTTCACACTAAATCAGGAATTTATTTTCTATTGTTGTTGTGAGTCGTTTGGGGCCTTAAATTTTTAATATTTCTTTAATTAGAATTAGGTATTTTGAGATATGACTATTTAAATCTTGTACTTCCTTTTTTTTAGTACATTGGAAATTGTATCATATTCCTTTTGCAAGTGGTGTGTTCGTAGTTTGTGCAAGAACAGGTGGTGGACCTCCTCGTCCGTACATCATCATTTCATGGTTCTTGTTATTTTTTACCAAGACAGCCAACGAACGATGCCTATCACCATCTAAACGTCGTCGAACTCGCATATTATCATTCCCTCACGAGGCCACAACCACTTCTCCACTCAATCCACTTCCTAAACACCTTCTAGGAGCCTTAGAATGGTATCATATGGTATCAGAGTCAAGAAGACGCTATGTCGTTTAGGACAAACCCTCAATGAGGTGCTAAGGAAATTACTATGGAGGAAATGTAGCGAAAAATCCAACAATTGCAGCAAAAACTTGATAATTTTGAAAGAAGACAACATGGGAAGTCACCCACAGCAATAACGATAACCATCCAAATTAAGGAGATGAAGGAAAACCTTTCCACCAAGAAGCTTCAAGTGAAGAAGAGCCGATGTTGCGTCAATTTAACATCAAATATAGAAGGAGAGATCGTGATTTTAAAAGTAAAGGTGGACCTACTAGATTTTGATGGTCGCATGGATCTGAAAGAATTTGAGTGGCTCTGAATAGTACAACGGGTCTTTGAATATAGCGATGTTCTATCTGACAAAATGGTAAAATTAGTCACAATCAAGTTAAATAAAAATGCATATCTAAGGTTGGAGAATTTGAAACGCCTATGCCAGTGCAAGGAAAAAAAAAGTAAATCACAATCTAGTCCGATACATTACAAATACATACCAGCATAATTACATGCAAGACGTGTTCTTAAGAGTTCACCACTTACAATAGCAAGATCTCTCAGTTGAGGAATACACAATAGAGTTGTTGCACCTTCTATGAAATGTGTGCTAATATAGCCTGAAGAGAGCATCATAACTCGATATCTAGAGAGATTAAGGGTTTGTTTGGGACAGCTTATAAGTGCGGGCGGCGTTTTGAAAACGCCGCCTCATTGTTTGTTTGGCGCGTTTTCATAGCTTATCCAAAATCGCCGTTTTGTATTTGTGAAGCACGCGGCCCGTGGGGATGACCCTGCGGTCCGCGTTTCATTCGCAAAATATTACTCCGGTGCCCTCAGCGTCTCCCGTGCCCTGTTCGTCCTCTGCCCTATCCGCTCCTCCATCTTCTTTGCACGCGGCAGGAAAATCATGGGCATTTACGTGGCTGTGCTCCGGTGCCCTCAAGTATGAGGCATATGGAGGATGGTCTAATGCCAGGCTCCTTCATGGCCGTTGATTACTTTGACCTAATCCTTCCAACGAGCGCTCCTCTAATTGGGCAGTGACGATGAAATCCATCACGGAAGGCGATCATAATCCGCTTTAGGAATGCTTCCGAGGGTGCTTCAGAGATCGCAATGCTTCTCTTGCTTTGGCGTCGAAGCAGCTTGGATGGCCCATTCTTCTACGGGAAACCGCTCTCTGTGCATCGCTGGTGTAGAGATAGCGGGTGGATCTGCTTGGTGATGGAGATAAGGTTACACTGAGCCTCCAATTTTCTTACCCATGTTTTCTCTAGGAGAAGAATTCCTACCAGAAAGTTTATGAATTCCTAGTGGGTTGTGGAAGTCTTTAATTCTTTTTTTTAGATTTATGGATGTCAAACGATTCATAATTCAACAAATTACTATGTCAAGTACTTCGTTCAAGAGCTGTAATGATTTACCGATTACCATAAACTGATTAATCATCTTTTATCGTGGAATAATGTATTTCATTTAGGGGAAAAACATTTTACTTCAAAAATAAGCTTTATTTATTTTTGGATGGGGGTTCAATGAGTGATGATATTTTCACAAAGATTTCTTTCTTTTCTTTCCTATCAAACCACAAGAAACTTCAATCGAGTGAACCAATAAAACCTCTTTTATGTTTTATTGGCTTTAGGTACTTAAGGGAAGTCTCATCAAAATATTTTATGAATTAAAATTTCATTTTCATTGATGTGATCGGAAATATTTGGTTTCATTGATGTAAATGTGCTTCTTTGATGTGATCGAAAATATTTGAGTTATATAAATGTAACTCAACTCTTTTGTATTTTCATGTCTTAACATTTGAACTTCAATTTTGTTGAGAAAATTATAAATTCTGCGTGACTGATTGGTCATTTAACTAAAAAAATCTATAAATAAGCTGCTTATAAAACACACAAATCAAACAGCTAAACAGCTTATACAGAACAGGGGCAAAATAGTCATTTATCCAGAATTAGCTGTTTTCCAAACGCACAAACCAAACAGCTAGCCAGCTTATCCGGATCAGCTGCTCATCAGCAGATTATCAGGATAAGCTGCTTATCAGCAGAAGCTGGATAAGCTGCAGCTGCCCCAAACAGACCCTAAGATCAACTATTGGCAAACATGGTATAGCTATAGCCTTATTATATATTAGAAAATTCTCAGACCCTAGTCTTAAAGGTGGAGATAAATTACAAGTGTGAGGTCCACACCACCCTTCAAATAGAGTTCAGTCATCGGGTCAGCAACAAAAGTATACCCATTAGAGCACCCAAGACCGACCCCTCCAGATGGGAAATCAGTTCAGAGTGGAGAAAAGATAGAAATCACTGGTACAGCCAAATTCATCCCAACTAAGAAGTGTTTAAATGCTACAGTTTTAGACACATCGCATTTGATTGCCCAAACAGGAGAATGATCTCATTGATTGAGCAGAGAGCAATGGAAAATAACAATAACAATGCAAACAATCAAGGAGAAAGTGACGACTCAAAAGAGTACCATCTTCCACTAAAGATGGAAGAATGCTAGTAATTCAACATGTCCTTCAGATTAAGCCTGTGAGAGGCACACCAACAAGCCTAGATGCTGCCCCGCAGAGGTGCCATTCGCGATCCTTGCTACAGTACCACTAGAGATCGCGGCTCTGACCAATCTTGGAGGGCTGGTCGACATTTTCTTTTCATAGATTTCCCTCTTATTTGGAGCGGGATCCACTCTTATTTACCTTAGGTCTATAAATATGTTGTTTTCGTGTTTTAGGAAAATTCTTTGTCCAATTTTTTGCCACAGCAATCGTCGACATCCAAGTTTCCCCTTCTAGAGTTCTATCAAAAGACGAGAAGGTTCTTCGACTATAACGCATCATGAGTTAATGTTTATATATCCTCCTCTGCTTCCACCGCCTTCCTCCTAGCCACGTAATCTACTATTGCCCTTGCCAAAAGTGTTATGTTGCCCTTCCTTTTGTAGTTTAGCCACCGGCAACCCCTCCAAAGTGTTGCCTACTTGTTGTCGCCCCATCCTAGTCATGTTCCTCAAGCTGCCAGCCTTCCCTTGCTACCACACCCACACCCACACCCAATCTTTGTTGCATTCACTTTCCATCCCCTCTAATAGCCAATGTCACATTCCTTGCTGCTACCACCCTTTCCCTTATTGCCCTCGAACACCCAGCCAACCCTACCTACTAATCCCCCTCAAGCTACAGCACCAACCCCTTCGACCCCATGCCCTAGTTTGGCGTCTGCGTTGTCTTTGTTATTTCTTATTTTGTTATGTGTTTGTTGTAACATGTATGTGCTTTCCGTAATAAAAGTTGTATTTCTCATTATTGTTCGGTTAACTCTGGAATCATTTGGTATCAAAGTTAGTCTAACCCTAGCCTTATCCGATAGTTTCCAACATCCACCACGCCCCACCCCAACCCACATAAAATTCCTTCCTTAAGCTAAATTTTCAAACCGGCCACCCAAAAATTTCTTTCCCACCCTACATCATCCCTATACATCCCTTTCCACCTACCCAAACCTAAACCCCAACCACACCGCGGAGAAGGCAAGTGTCTAAACCTGATCAAAAATTTACAAAGGATGACATGCAATGGCTCGATGCTATTGAATAAAGAACCCAAGGCAGGATCACTGTCGATCTTAATAGTGAATTTCATGGAGAAGAGAAAGAAGACCATCTGAATCACTTTCGTGAATATGATTTCAATTGAGAGGATAGACCAAGGAGCATTGGGATATCGTATTAGAAGAGGTCGAAAGATGAGATGACAATTGAAAAAAATAGAGATGAAGTGTTTGTTGGATGATACTGAGACTCGAAAGTAAAAGTAAGCCTATCGGACTTCGAGTGGAGAAAAGATCCAGAAGTTTTTCTTGAGTAGATGCAGACTATTCAGCGGATTTTTGAAAACAAAGAGGTGTCTGATAACAGAAGAGTGAAGCATGTCGCCATCAAGCTGAAGAATAACACATCATTTTTAGTGGGAGAACCTAAAGAGGGAGATAAATAGAGAAGGATGGGACAGAATCACTTCTTGGGAGAAAATGAAAGCGGGAATGCAGTGACAGTATCTACCACGCACTATTGCCAAGATATTTTGTAGCAACTTTTCTACCTGCAGTAGAAAAAGCTATCAATGGAGGAAAACGAAACAAAATTTATACAACTTAAATTGAAGTGTGAGTTGAAGGAGCAAGAAGAGCACACCACAACTAGGTAATTGGGAGGTATGAAGCTCGCCATCAGTAATGTGGTCCAACTATAAGCCTATCAAACAAAGAGTGATGTGCAGACCTTAGTACTAAAAGTGGAGAGGCAACAAATGCAAAGTAGGCAACCACTACCAATCAGAGAACCAGCACCAGCCAGGCAATCACCCATATTAGGAGGCCTCAGAAGAAGCACACCACGTGAAGAGAAGCAAACTGGTCAGAAACAAGGCAGAACCACTCCGATTGAGATGAGCCTAACAAAGAATAGCATGCTCACTACAATCCAAACCAGGAAATACTTCAGATGCCATGGTTTTGGACGTGCCACTTCTAGTTGTCCGGCGAGCCCGGTTGTGCACTACACCGAGCAGGGGGTATTGGAGGAAGTGAGCGACCAAGAAGCAACTGAAGAAAAAAGTGAGGAGTACCAGCTCCCACCGGATAAGGGCGAGATGTTGGTGGTTCGGAGAGTTTTACAGACTTAATATGCGAGGGAGCAGAAGTGATTTTGCCACAGCAAATTCTACACACATTACACTGTGAAAGAAAGTGTATGCAATCTAATCATTAATGAAGTAGTAAAAACGTGAAGTTCACACGGATGGTCTACAAATTGAGCCACTTGACTCAGAGGCATTCCTAGTCATATTCCCTAACGAAATTGAAGAAGGATAACAGGGTCAGCATTGACAGAAGATGTCTCATAGAGTTTTTGATTGGGAGCCAACTGTAGGATCATGTCAGTGCGATGCGATGCTCATTGATGCCTTCCACCTTTTGCTGGGTAGGCTGTGACAGCATATAACATGATGGGTACATGAACACTTACTCATTCACTAAAAATGGAAAGCGTATCATTCTCTTCCCTTTGGTGAAATTTGAGATTACAGGTGCTATTGCAAACAGAAAGGCACTGGCGGGATCAATGTTGGAGATGATAGAGGATGATAGGATTGATGCGTCAATTCCAAACACTCACTACAAAGAGCATTTTAAGACATCATGATCAATACTTAACCATCATGACAACCACCGTTTGGTGAGGTTCAATAAAATACAAAAACATGCTAGAAAGCATTCCGATTGCATTACTAGAAAAGGAGAGGAAAGGCTTTTCTAACATGGAATGATAAAAAGATAAGATCAATGCTAATGTTTTAATGCTCGTAAACTGTAAAGAGGTGCCATGGCAGTGAATAATGAAGTTGATAAGAGTAAGATTGCATAATGACATAATTGGTTTGCAGGACAAGAACTTTGATGTTTTTTCCCATGGCATTGGAAAAAAATAAATTATTTCTCTAAGTAATAGCGATAAACTTTAAGTTAGGTGGCCCATATGTAATAAAGTGAGGGTGCAAAAATAAGAAATGAAAATTAGAACAATGTGAAAGGAATAGGGAAGAAAAAGATTCGAATAAAAATAATATGAATATAAGTCGTGTGAAAACTTCCATAGAATAGAATTAACACACTTTGTTATAGTATTCAATAAAATGAACTGATAACTCTTTAAACTAATCCTAAATAGTTGAGAAGAGGCAAATGTTGATAATGAGGACTAGGGCTGAGACATAACAGCCTTGCTAATGTTGATAATGATAAGAGTACAGATGTAGTTCGGTCAAAAATTTATATGGTAAAATCTAGAAAAAAGTTCAGTCAAACAATTGAAAAGATGGTATGCAGAGACTTCACATACATTGGAATAACAAAATTTAAGCGCAGCGAGCCAGTGAACGAAACATGCTGCCTATTCAAAAAAATATATGTACAAATTTTAAAGTTTTCTAATGAAACATATGAAGAAATAGATCAAGATGTCAATAGCAACCAAATTTAGTGGTAGAAAATGAACTCAAAAAACTTCTAAGAAAGAAACAAACCTCCTGGATGATTCGAAACACTTCAATAACTGAACTTGCTTGCTTCTGTTGAGATGACAAAGGCTCCCAGTTCTATAAAGTATAATAAAGCATATCATTAGCAAACATCTGATGAATTGAATGAATGATGCTAAAGAGAGCATAGTGATATGATCTCCAATTTTTTTTACTTTAGCCAAATCTACATGTTCCTTTCATCTAATGCTCCATCCTTCTGAACCTTGTTTTGCATTTCTATGACACAAATATGGCTAGTGCCAAACAAAAGAAAAAGCAAGGCTGCAACTTTTTCAAATTTTAATCTAAAGGTAATTAAATAACAAGAAAAAATTACAACCAGAATTCTGGAGACCTCTTTCTTGAAGCCTCAATTTCTGCTCACTATGGCCAATATATTACAGTTGATACAGACACATCTTGGAGGCTACTTATGCTACATTGATTATGAATCCCATGTCATGCGTATGCATTAAACAGAGCAAAATATATTCTAGTTCTTCTAAACCGCTGCCACTTGGCATTCATGCCAAGTCAGGACTTACCATATTTTTGTAAACAAACTGCATGCATTAAGATTTATTAACACCTTACTGAAGTACTAGAGACACTGGACCATTATGTCTTAAGAATGATGCAAGGAATAAACAAGGAATTAAGTGCAGGAACCAAAAGAAAAAACTCCAAACCATAAATAAAAAGATTAAAAAACTAATAGCTTCAATCTATTATTACACTGCTCTTAAGAAAATTGCATCCAAAGAATCTGAAAGGAATCGACACATTTTTCCACACAGAAATTAGGGCAACAGATAATTTTATTTCATGAACACAAAACAACGCAATACAGATGTATAAAAATAATAACCTACAATTTGAGAGGTAGCCGATCTCTCCCAAATCCTACAGTTTGAGAGCTAGGAAATCTCTCCCAAACCATAAACCTAAGACTCAAGACACAATCTATTGCATAACCCTAACCATAAACCATTAAGCCCTATTTATACCAAACAATAATAAATAATAAAAGACTAAATTCCCTTACGCTAGGTACTAGCTTAACAAAATCCTCAACCCTAAACCACACCAAGAAAAAAATGGCACTATTCTAAGTAAATGTGTGTTTTCATCATGTACACAAAGAATGTCAGTCTAGTCAATGTGATATCATGTGTAATGTAAATAAATGAGAAAAATATTTGTATATCCCTATCTCAAAAAATAAAATTGTTAGTGCCTGCAGGTAGACTATATGTTGGAATGAAAATTTCTAGATGGTATTCAAGTACAACTATTTTTTATGCTTTTTCAGATTCCAATAAGATGGCATGATCACCAAAGCTATTAGCTACCCAATCTGCCATCATTAGACATATAGAACCATCCAAAGGCATCAAATTAATAGCAAAATTATAGATGAACAACTTGGCTCCACAAAACAAAGACAAACTTTTTAGTGACTCACAAAAATAGTAAGGAACGAAGTGAAAAGCGCATCTGCTGTAGAAGTACAACATGATAAATAATTTAAATAACACAGCGTATACACAGATGCTATAGGTATGAAAAAAAAGAATAAATGTGCGCCAGAATCATTAAAAAAAAATTAACAATGATGAATGACGAAGAATGAATCAAGCCTCCTTGAAATGAATGCATTCAGATATTTGCAATTTTTTTGGATTGGTAGTTCAAATAATCATCAAAAATATATTACCATAATTTCATGTTGCTCTTAAATTTCCAAAAATAATAAATGCACCGCTAGTTTACAATTTGTATTAATTGATAGAGCAAGAACTCAACCTCTATATGGACAGCACGTTCAGTCCATCCCAAGATCTTCTCGTGTCTAACATTCACCAAATGAAGAATAAGTGGAGCACAAACAGGTCTTATCTGAAGACAAACAAATTAATCAATCATCATGAAATGACCATAGGGCATCATCATGCTCAAAAGGATTCCATAAGGTGTCACAAAATACAATAGAAACTAGTTTAGGACAAAATTAAAATAATAATAATAATAATAATAAATAACTTGTCCCAATCACCAAACATCGCCAGTTCAAATCCATTGAAAAAAATATATCAACCATCAGTATTACAGCGATCTACGGAATTATATATACTCCAAAGAGAAGGAAACTTGTACCAACCACTAAATGCCGCTGGTTCAAACCCATTATAAAATATAAATCAACCACCAACATTGCAGCCATCTACCGAATTATATCCTTCGAAGAGCAGGAAAAAGACAACTAATAAAAGTGAAGCCATTATAATAAAGAATATGAGCAGAGTCAAACTGAACGTGTTAACTTTCAGAATTTAGTGGAATTATATTATTGAAATGAAAAAGGGAAATAAATACCTTTAAATGATCCTAGAATAGGAAAAAAAAGAAAAAGGAAATAACATGGAAGGAAATATATATAACTTATATCTCTAATTGATCAATTCATAATAATTACTTAGAAATAAAAGAAAATGACATAAAATAGGAAACCTTAAAATAGAAAAAGATATAAATCCAATCCAAGAAAGCATATATCTAAAATAGGAAATGAAATAAATCCAAACCAAAGAAATAAATCTAATCCTCATAGCTTCTAAAAGGAATAAATTATTTCTTAATATAAATTCTAACACCCCCTCAAGTTGAAACACGGTTGACAACTTTGTTCATCTTGAATTTGAAAATATTAAATAATAGGCGAGGAAGATTCTTTGTCAGGTAAAACTTTAAGTCTCTAACTCGTACTTGATAATCAACTCCAAGTGTATTCTTAGTTGATTGTGGTTGTCTTTCACTGTAATTTTTAAAAAGTTTGAATGTACGCAGAAGGCTCCTACAGATAACGCTGCAAGAAAGTTTGCAAGGAAGTAGACAACCAATAAAATAAAATCAACTTTTAGTTGACTGTGGTTGTCTTTAACTTAAATTTTTGCAGTGTCTGTAGGTAGGCAGAAGACTTCTACAGATAACGTTGCGGGGAAGTAGACAACCTACAAGAAAAGTTGCAGGGTATGGTCTACAAAGAAAAAAAGGAACACCTGAAGGAAAAGTTGCAAAGTATGGTCTGCAGGTAAAAAAGAAAAACACCTGCACGGAAAGTTGCAAAATATGGTCCTACAAACAAAGTAAAAAAAGAGCACTTGCAGACTATGGTCCTATAAGTAAAAAAGAAAAACCTGCAGGAAATGGTGCAAGGTGTGGCCTGCAGAAAAAAAGAACACCCTCGCTGTAAAAAAAGATTTCCCTGTAGGATATGCATACAGTGAAAAATGAAGAACACCTACAGGGAAAGCTGCAGGGTATGGCCTGCAAGAAAAAAGGAATGAACATTTATAAGGAAAGTTGAAAGGTATGGTCCTGCAGGTAAAAAAGAACATTGTCGGGTATGGTCCTATAGCTAAAAAAGAACTCCTGCAAGAAAAGCTGTAGAATATGGTCTACATGAAAAAAAGAGAACATCTGCAGGGAAGCTGCAGGGTATGCCTCCAACGGAAAAAAACTTCAAAGAAGGGTGTGTTGTAGGAAAAAAAGGCTCTAGAGAATGGTTTGTTGCAGGAAAAGGCTCAGGAGGAAGGCTTACTGCAGTAAAAAAACTCGGGAGAAGGGCTTGCTGGAGGAAAAAAACTCCGGAGGAGGGTTTGCTGCAGCAAAAAAGCTCTGGAGGGCCTGCTGCATGAAAAAAACTCTGGATGAGAGCCTACTAGAAGGAAAAGCTCTGAAGCAGAGCCTACTGCAGGAAAAAAACTCCAAAGGAGGGTCTGTTGCGAGAAAAAAACTCTACAGTGAATTTTCCCTTGACTTCATAGTTTTCTCTTAAAGCAAGTTTGAGGCACTCTCAGGAAGAGGAAGGCAATCCCTATCAATCTTGATATTCACTTGTGGTGGGAACTTCCCTCCAAAGGCTCCCACCACTAAATTAAGGCCCCCTTCGAAGTGGAGCAGTAGACACCGTACATTTGGTTGAGGTCAAAATCAACAGGAAAAGCCTTGCTCTTGGATTGATCCTCTTCATCTTCAGTTTGCCCCTAGGAAGGCCAAATAACATATGCTTATAGCATTCATGCTTCGTTAGAGAGTTGCACTTGAAGATTATTTTGTTCATCAAGGAACTCTTCTCCATGGAGAATGAGGCACTCTCCACGTGATCCTTCCCCTTATTCTCCATGTTGGCAAGCTCCTTCCCCTTCTTCTTATTCCCTGCACTAGCTTTGACCCTGGTCTAAATAACTGCCACCCTAGCATTAGCATCGAGAGCAAGGTTAGAAGACACGGGCACATTAATGGAACCCGAAGCAGCTGCCCCAACTTCCTCAATCTGCTCACCAGCGTTGTTCTTCTTCTTGAATTCTTTTGAAGGCGCCTGAGACGAACTTCCAGGTCCCTGTTCAACCTTCTCAACTTCCCCATAATAACTGAGTGTGAACCCTTGATGAACAAAATGAACTTCGAAGCGGCATAATCGATTATGGGAGGAGTTCCAGTGGCTAGAGCCTACAAGGAAAATATTGTCCATTGAGGGGAATAAGGAATTTTCCGACGACAGGAGATCTTCTCCTTCGCTTGAGATTCAAGAATTTTATTTCAAAGCTTTGATACCATGTTAATTTTTAGAATTCAGCAGAATTATAACATTGATATGAAAAGATGGTATCAATACACTTACATGAATTTTAGAATAGATGAGACAAGAAAAAGGAAATAATACAAAAATAAAAGAATATAACACATATATCTTTAATTAATTCATTCATAATAATTATTTAAAGATAAAGAAAACGACATAAAAAATGAAAGCTAAAAATAGGAAAGGAAATAAATCCAATCCAAAAAAATAAATCTAAAATAAGGAAATAAATCTGATTCAGGAAAATAAATCTAATCATCGTAACTTCTAACAAGAATAAATTATTTTCTAAAATAACTTCTAACATAATGGATAAAGGATTTATGCTTCAATCAATAAATTCAAGCTAGATCCTAAAAGTATCATATCACCTGCTTCAGGTTTCCATACATTCATGCAAAAAACTAACAAAGAAAATTCAACATAGTAGAAATCAAGAATTTTCCTTAAGTTGTAACTACACCTTTGAAGCCTATAATTCTCATCACCACCAACCCCCAAAACACATTCCTTGCACAAAATCTATAAAATTTCATGACTAAAAGCCTGCAAGCTACAACACTCCACATGCAGCAAAGGACATCCGATGGAAACCCAGTAGAAGCAGTTTTTCACCCTGATTCATGCATTAACAGAAAAAAAAAGAGGACAAACTAGATGAAGATAATGATCTTTTATCTGACCTTCAATGATGCGGGGTTGGTCGGTCGGCTGAACTGACCTGAGGAGAATCCTGGTCCAGCTGTATGGGGCGGGAATTACCGCCGCCCATCACTTCCATTTCCCGCTTATCCATCTCTATTTTGTTTTTGTTGATTTTAGACTTTGGCTACGTTTTGTTCTATTTCAAATTTCTGTTTGAAGTCTTTTTCCCTTCCTAGGGTCGTATCCGAGAACAGCATGGTGTTTTAGTTGTACCATGCTTTGAGGTGGTGTTCATCCTCTCTAATTCCCTTCCCCGCTCTCCTCATTCCCTACTCCTTGCCGCAAGCCTAGCCCTCTTCCTTCTGCCGCCGGCTCAACCTTCGCCCTTCCCTACAATTCGAACCGCTAGTCTATACCCCAGTTGGCCTATTCTTGGCCACCAACCATCCCCTCCTTCCCCTACAGCCCTGCCACCATCCCCAACCCAGCCGACCTGCTCCCAAACACCGACCAACACTCCTACACTCCGGGCTCTAGCCGCATCCTTCTTGTTCCAACTCTCTCTTTCTCTTTCTTTGTTCTACCTGTCGGCCCACCCTACATAACTCCACACCGACCCTTGACGCCTTCTACCCTTCAACCCTCAACCATTATACCCGCACCACCAAGGTCTTGGGATCTTCTAACCGAGCCCTAGCCAGATATTGTTATTTATTATATTCTCGTTTCTATTTTTGGGTCGTGATTGTAATCTTAGTCATTTGCTTAATAAAATTTATTTTGTTATTTCGAGTATAGTTATCGTCGGCATCATTCAAAAAAAACCTTGGACGCCCAAAACCTTCAACATCAAGTAAAATCTCTAAAATTACACGATCAAAAGTCTACTAAACCCCATGTAACGAAATCAATTTTGCAGCCTCGAGCCAGTTTCTCAAACGTACAGATTCTTATCATCATTCTCCATTGTTATCTCATTTACTTCCCTGACTACAACTTCGCATACATTTAGGGATGTGAATTTAGCTCGAAGGTGGTTACTCGTTAATCACTCGAAATCAATTTGAATATTGGCTCGGATCGAGATTAGATTGAAATAAACGAGCTGAACTATGAGCCGAAATTTTGGCTAGAAATTTTTTTGAGCTGATTTTGAGCAATACATGGATCGACTCGAACTAACTCGAGAATGGCTTATAGTAATTTTTTATATAAAAAAAATTAAATATATGTTGCTAAGTAAAACGGAATATAATAAGTCACAAGCCAATTTCGAACTGATCTCAAGTTAGAACGGATTCAAATAAATCAATTTGAACAAGTTAGTTTCAATTTTGAGCCGAATCAAGTGGTTTTTGAGCTAACACAAATCCAAATAATTCAATTTGAGGCAGCATGTTTTGTATTCGAGTATGATGAAGCTCGATTTAATTTTGAGTTGTCTTGGCTCGAAAACGAATATAAGAAGACGAGCCGATTTCGAGGCATTAAATCTATTCGAACCAATTATCAACCGACCCCTAGCTCAATTTGAAATCAGACCGTTAATGTTGACTGTAACAAAAAAAAGGAGAGAGGAAAATAAAATAAATTAATTAATTTTAGAATC